CAGCTTCAACCACCACGGCCATTATGAGGAATAATAGGAGCTCATGCCCCATGCAATAGAACAAATGATGAGTATTACACTCCGAGAAGTCACAATTTTATGAGTTTGTCACTACTTGAGTACCAGTTCATCCCTCCCTGCCACACACACCTTTCCCCTTAAGCAGCAACATCCAGCATTATTATTAACACAAGCAATCCTTTCATAATGGAATGAAGCCAGAATGCCAAAGAGTACATTGGCCCCAAGTGACCTGAATAATTTGAAGACAGAATCATTTCAATTAAACTGACAGAGAGGAAAAGTGTGTCCTGATTACTGTTAGTAATGCATGAATAATCTTAAACTGTGACTGAGTAAATGTTTAATATAAAAAAATGGAGACCCTTTGCTTATTTGGCATATTATCCCATATGACTCTTTCTGTTCTCTGTTCATGTATTTCTGCAGGCTCATTGAGAACATTAAAAGACCCAGAGTAAAATATTTAGACTCTCTGGAACAGTCAGATGCTCCACTGTCATCTCAGAGACATTTTATTTCATGAACTACAACCTCGGGGTTTATTTTATAGTTATTGATTGAAAATTGCGGTCATCATTTTGTGTACTACTAATTAGTAATGTGGCTAAAAAAAAACCATTTCAAAACAAAGTATTAAGACATTTTTCCTCAACAATATAAATTATGCCTATTATTCTGAATCTGTGAATAGGGATGGTGTTTAATAACCTATTTGAAAAAAAAATTGGGGTGTTTTCTAATTTAGAACGAAGCAGCCAAAAAACCCAAATCCAATTTCAATCACCTCCAACTAACAAATCTAGCAAGGCTGAGCTGGCAAGGCATTGAAGGCATATCATTTTGGGGCCAAGGACTATACTAGACTTTAGAGAGGCTGAAATGATCAGAAAAGCTAAATGAATTTTAGGCTCCTCCCATGGTCAATTACACATAACATTTTATGGAAGCATCAGAGTCCTGGATCTCAGAAACTAACTATTGATACTAGATATTTTCTATATTAGATTTGAGGTCCCATAATTCTCTAATCAACATGATACAATCCAATTTGTCTAGAGGGCATCGGACTGAGGGAAATTTCTCAGCGGTGAGCTTTTGGGTCTAAAGCTCTTGGCTAACGCCCTTCACCTTTTAACTGATCACACACTAACTGTACTTAATGAGCATATCTTTCAGGTCCAACAAAATCCTCTTAAAGTCAATAGGGTCGGGTCAATATATTATTGACTTTTTGCGTGACTGTGGGGCTTTTAAGGAGCAAAATGGTTGCTACAAATCTTTCAGAGGTTTGAGAAACATTATAAAAATTCTGAATAGACTACAGAACACCGCAAGCTAAATATACACTTTTTTTCCTAGGCTGTACTTAAAATAATTTACCTCTAAAATGAGACAGTCGCAACTTTAATTATCTTGTCTTGTTTTCATTGGTAGCCTATACCTCCCTAAAGTAAAAAATTGTTCAAAACATTCATTTTCCATGTATCTACTGTGGTGAATTAATGTCTTTTAGATTTGTCATAACTAATAAAGTGATAGTTTTCAGGGTCTATTCTATTTATCCTAAGAGAAATGAAACTATTTAACAAGTATTAAAATAAAACCTTGCTCAGGCGGCATCAAGAATACCTCCCCATTACCATTGTATTTTCTTCCTACCCACCATCTACTAATTGAATATTTCAGAACTGCCTCATGAAATTATAGTTGTAATCCTTTACACTTGGGAGCCCTATTAAATTCAGCAGCATTTTATTTAGATGGTGGGTAGGAAGAAAATGTGTTTCAGGCAGAACAGGTTGCACAACACAAGTGACTTTTCTTGCCTTCAGTAGTAATTTCTTCCTTGATGCCAGGAGGTAAACCTTGTTTAAGCTTAAACTGTAATCAAGAATCAAAATGTTACTTGTAAACTGCTTTGGTGATATTCCTATTAATAAATCATGCACAGATCATATAGAAATAAATCATATGCAACAGATCTCAATGAGCTCTAAAAAATATAATTTTATCCTGTTAGCACAGCTTTCATACTGACACCTGCCGTTCCCAATTTGTCCCATCACCACTCATATGTCCTCTGGACATTTTGTTGCTTACCACATACCTAGCCTTCCCACCCCCAAAAGATTTTAAACAAAATATAAAAGGAATCTGCCATGCTGAAAAGCAAAGCCTGTGTGTAGCCCCTCTAAGCTTCTTAGAAATGAAAAATTATGAGTAGCTACAGCTAATTGTGTTCCTTATACCTATGCTCACTTATATCTCTATTTTGAGGTAAGACAATTAAAAGGTAGGGGCTGATCACCTATCCCTGGAGGCTAGATAATGTGAGAGGAAACAACCTTATAAATTTTAGTCTTCTTGTCAATTGATCTTTTCTAATTAACCACAGCTACTATGGTAACCATTTTATGAATAGCGAGGTAGCTGACCCATTTTTCTTGAGCATTCAAGTTGAAGAAAATGTAATTTAACAACTTCTTCACTTAAGAAAAAATAAATAAAAGACATGGCTCAATAGGATAGCGTCTTAATCTTCTGCCCCTCTAAAGATTATGAAACTTTTGGGTTTCCAGAAATATACTTCCAATTACTATTCTGTCACATGAGATGGGGTCAAAAGAGAGTAAGTTGTAAGATCCCCAATGTAACAATTTAAAGCACTTTGTGGCTCAAGGTCTCTGTCTGAAGAGGCAAACATCTATTTATAGCTTTATAAAGATAGATGGTTCCTACAAAAGTGTACAGTATTCTGCCTTCAAGCCACTGTGGTACATGTCCCTCTCACTGCAGTGTGTGTCAATGAAGACAAGCACTATAAGTGTTAACTTTAGGAGATATTTCTTGTTTGCAAGAGAAAAACATTTAGTCTGTTGCCCCCTAAGGTATGCTTGACATTTATCTATCTATCTATCTATCTATCTATCTATCTATCTATCTATCTATCTATCTATCTATCTATCTATCGGTTCGATTTATATGCCGCCCTTTTCCAGAGACTCAGGGCGGCTTACAATGAGTTAAGCAATAGCCGTCATACTTTTGTATATACCTGCTTAGTAGGGCTTTCGGCCCCCCATTAATTCTTGAACCCCCCTACACATCTAGCTTCAACCAGCTGTGTTCTTTGGATTGTTGTGGTCCATGCAGAATTTGGAAACAGACCTGTAGCATGGAGCAGCACCTGGAAGAATGGATCCTTCCCAAAACATCCCTATCTGACCAACCCTCCAAGCTGAAATTAGGAATTCCAAGGAAGCTATCTACCCAGCACAAATGTTTGTAGAAACCTGACTGAGGGGGGAAAGTGGGGAGGGAGCAGCAGATACTGAAACTCTAGTGCCAAACCACGTGTCACCATAAAGAGATGCTGGAAAGTTTTTCAAATTATTAGAACATTATAACAAGAAAAATAACAAAAATATTATTATTGGTTCCTATTCTCTTTAATGAAGCTAAGGTTTGGGACTTAAAACATGTACCATTACCAGAGCAAACACAATCACAGCATCTGAGTATTTTGGTTGTGGATAAAAGGACTTCAACTGCTGCATTTAGAGCTGAGTGAGGAATTTATGTACTTTGTTCTTTGTCAAAAATTAAGGCATATAATTATTGGTACTGAATCCATTCTATGGAAACTGACAGACTTCCAAAATTATGTCTGACAGAAGAGTCTAAATCTCAATTAGAAATCTCTTAGATGGTAAAACACACAAACTGTATCAAAAGTTGTGGTCTCTTTCTTGTCCAACTGAATTTTGCATACAGAAGATCAAAAAGATATACCAGGTAGTTAATTTCAGGAAGGCCAGCATGTTGAAATGAATGAGACACCAGAAACACACCCTCCAAACTGAAAAAAATATTTCAGTACAAAAATGCCCAAGCATCTTATGAGTGTATTTGAGATTTGAACAGATAAACATGATCATTAAATATAGAAGGTTTAACCCAAATTCCTCATCATAAATGTATTTGTGGAGCTCCAAAGATGGAGGACATAGCTTATATTATTTAAATGCCAAGTGTATAGTAAAGAAAACTTATCAATATTTTGGATCACACATTACATGTGCAGCTAATAAGATCCATTAATTAGAACAATGAATTTCATGTGTGGTCAGAATCCAAATGTTACATATAACATGGCCTTTTAGCTGACTAAATAGTACATCTGAGAACTGCCTATGAGGATATGTCAATAGGCATAATACAGAAAATGACCTGTATTTTCTTTTAAGTCTGCCTTGTACTTTATTATATATGCTCTATTGTTTTTTTCTATTTTGTATTCTGATATATCCTTATGACTATACAAAAAGGTATTATTATTGCATGAGCAAGTCTATGTTTTGAATAAATTTGAATTTACACCCAATTCCTCAACTTGAACAGAAAAATAAAATCACAACAGTAAAACAGTCAAACTTTAATCAGAAACTATGGAGGGAGAAATTAATTTTGTGCTTTTCCCAGTTTCAGTTCATAGCTTCGCCTACGTTTTCCGTTTCATTTTAAAATTACAATATTTTTTCTATCTCCTGCATAGAAAAAGGCTGGGATAAGGTACAGGACACACGTTCCTTCTTTCTGGGGATTATATTGGCAGTCTGGCATGAGTGACTGCTGTTTTGTTGGGATATATCTTGTGAATGGCTGAACTTATCTGGTCCACAAGGTGTTCACAATCCTACCAGATTTCATGTATCTTTTTGGTCCTTAACAAAATCAAAGTCATAATACTTAAGAAAGAAAATGGATACTTCTGTTAAATAATGCAGTCTCCCCCAAGGGGCTAAATTAAGACATTAAATGAAACAATGAAACAATGAAAAAAGCCATACAGGTTACTTCTCAAAAAAGTATCATGGATGCTAGCACTGCTCTGCTGCCAAGATAATCTTCCAAAAGTAAGTTACTTTTCTCAGAATAATTGAACTTCTTCGAAAAGTTATTCATGACAAAATCACTGAAATTTAACAATTTTGATTTTATTGCCTAGATACAGTAAAATTCTTGTGATTTGCAGTTCAGAATCACAAATGATGAATATTCTCAAAGCTATGCATTAGAACATCATAGCTTCAAGTCCATCTTCCATAAATTTTTTATAAAGGGCCATGAATTTGGCTACAAATGCTTCCAGGTGATAAATAGCTTTGTTGCCCAGTTGTAAGCGGTGCTCATAGAAAGCTGCCATTTGTGCGACTTCTCCTTTTAGTTGCCCATCACAGTTGTTCAGAAGTTCAGACAGAAGGCCCTAAAATAGATGACAAACAGTAATAGTTCAGAGGTGGATAATTATATTCTTTGAATGTATGAAACAAATGGAATGCTTGGAATAAAACTGAGTTTGATTAAATTGTGATACATTGGCCAAAATGTGCCAAAACTTATTTGCATATATAGTTGCCACTAGCAGAGCATGCTGAATGTAGAACAGGTATGATGTAAGTTGGTGATTTAGTCTATTATTTTATCTTATTAAAAAGAGGTCTATAAAGGTTGATCAAAACTATAATGATCCAAGAAAGTCGACATTCATGGGCTCCTCTATTGAATATGGTATATGGAACATTGCAACTTGGAATGTATCAAAATAATTAATAGGAAAGATGTTACATTTATGATATTTATAAGTATATAATCAGAAATACATAACAGATTTGAACGACTGTGATCTGATTTTGTGGAATATAAATCTAACACATATCTCAGAAATGATGGCTTGGTGTTATCTAAATTATTACAAGTATGTATGAAAATAGGAATTCATAGACTAGTGGCAATAGTCCAATGAATGGTGCCAGTGAAAGAACCAGGTATGAATTTGGGGTTTAAATGTACAGTCTTATGAACGAATGACATCTGGGGGAAAAGCTATGCTCTTAACTAGCCTGAATAGGGTGGGAATGAGATGAGAGAATATATTCAACGTGTTTGCGCCATATGGAGACCAAAAATGAATTTAAACTTGAGTTAGAAAAAGGTCTATTTGAAATATGCAAGTTTAGTATAGACATTCATATAATCCCATGGCAAAGAGCTGAACTGAAAAGCATGACTAATTTGATTGTTTATGATGCATGATAAAATTAGTGAAGAGATCAAAGCCCTAAAAAGCACTTATGGGGTAATGAAAAAAAAATTGATCTATGGGAAGAATGGACATAAAACCAAAAGGAAACCATAGAAAGTACAGTGAATTAGGAAGACTAAGGGAAGAGAAATTAGAAGTCTTTTCCATAAAATCACATCAAAAGTCAGATTAATTTCCCAACAGAATGATTATAAAAAGGATGTGAATAGGAAGCAGAATCTTAGAACAAAATGGAAAGAATTATGTTGAAAAGTGCTGCAGAAGTGTGTGAATATATGCTGACAGAAGTATGAAAAGCTATTTTGTGGAATGATAAAATGGATAAGGAAAAACAAATTTACCACAGAATGATTCCTGAAAAAAGAGGGTGATGATAATAAAGATACTATTTTCATTGTATTATTTCCATGATGTTTTCATTGTGCTGTAAGGCTATTGTTTGTTGCTTTTTGAGTATAAATAGTAAGTGGAAAGCATAATTTGGGAAGTGCAGGTTTAAGCCACGCCAGTGAAATACAGATTTTTGCTTTTCAGCAGATTATTAAGAAAATTGTATGAACTGAAAAAATATATTATACATTTGTTAATAATCAAGTGAATAAACCTGAACTGGGAATATTTTGTTTGTGGATTGATGAATGAACATGAATTGTATGCCAGTAGGATACAATCATGCAAGACAATAAATTTAATGGCAGTTCACCAATAAACTAGGAGTGAAACAAGAATGTCCAATGCTCTTCTTGGTCATTTATTTGTAGATACACAAGCAACAAATGCTTGTGGTACTTCAGCTAGCATATTGGTTGAAGAAAGGAATGTGTGTGTACTCCTGTATGAAATTGATGCTATATAATTGGTGAGAACCCAAATTATTCACAGTGAATGTAGAATATACTATATGATGCAATGAGTGGTATGAATCTGAAAATTAATATACTGAAGATCAAGAAAGTTGTATTTCACAAAGAAAACAGCATGAATGACTGCAAGGTTACACATAAGCAATGAAAAATTAGACATAATAAATGAATTCATATACTTTGGCAGAATGTTTACTAAACCCAGAAAAATGGAGAAATCTTAAAAACATGCATATGTTGGTAGAAAAGTAGAGAAGGATAGGATGTGTCTAAAAACTCAAAAATGAGTGTGTATAAAAGTATGCTTCTGGTGACTGTTAAACAGAAGTTAGAGCTAGATAGGTCAGGAGAAACAAAACACTTGAACACAGCAGAAACAGGATACTTAAGAGTACGGGTGGTAAAACAAATAGAAATGCAAAAAAATCAAGGATGAATAGGTGATGAATGAAATCGATTAAATAACAAAAGTTGAAGAATTTAAAACAACTTTGTCCACTTTAAGTTTCTCCTGCTGAATTACAATTGCCATAATCCACAATCTGTACATTCCTGGAGTGAACTGTTGAATCTGTAGTCCAACATATGGATTCTTGGTTGGAGAAAGCTAAGAAATAATTAATAGTCTTTACAATTATCCATGAGATTTTTTTCAACTTTAATAGCAAAATCTGATTTCATACAAGAATATCAATAGTTCTTTGAAGATATAAAAAAATGCTCAAACTGTTTATTCTAAACTTGATCCTTCTTGCTTCCCCACTGTAATTAACATTACCCACAATTAATAAACCAAATAGGAATCAATAAAGTAGTTACCTTTATTATAATATCTGCAGGAATACAATGAGTTAAAAGTTCATAAAGTCGCCCACGGACTTCAAATAGTCTATTGGAACAAAATTAAAATATTATCAAGCTACAATTTAACTCCAGAAAGTTTTAACTTATTCAACCAATTTTTATGTAATAACCTTTATTGTGTAGCCTTCACACTCTATCTCAAAATCTATTTTAAAAGATAACTATAATAATTCAATTATTAAGAAATAAATTTCTGCTCAGGAATTGCACATATTTATCTCCCCTTCTTTTAGAAACGTATAAAAAGTTAAAAAGTTAAACTTCTCCCAAATTATAATATTCTGCATCCTTGTATCTATTAAAATACATTTTTCTGTCTTCAACAGAAATAAATTTATTTGCTCACAACTCAAATGCTTCTTTTTGGTCTTTCATTTCTGAAAGGATCATTTTATTTATTTTTTCCTATTGGTGAGGATAGAATAAAATGTAGAATAGATTAAACGCAATATTTAAGTGGTAAAAAGGTTTGTCCTAGAATTAAAAATACAGCGATTTTAATGTTTTAAAAAATCTTCAGGATTACCACAACTGAATCTTAAACTGCATTATGAAAATCATAGTGCCCATTTAGGGAAAAAATAAACAATTCAAGTAGTTCCCTGTCAATGGTTCAAAAATCCAGTCTACAATCGAGATGGCTTCAGTCTGTTTTAACAACAAAAACAACAATCTTGGAGATTTTAAGAAATTTTTGCAAAGCCCTTAAGAACCTCTATTCTAATACACTGTAAGAAAGTAGCAGGAGGGTGTCCGAAAGGTGCTTTTTCAAGAGGCAACTGGACTTTCTGGTTTTTCTTTGAAGACATTTCCCTTCTCATCCAAGAAGCTTCTCAAAGCTGAAGAAGCTTCTTATGTGAGAAGCGAAACAGCTTCAAAGAAAAACCAGAAAGTCCAGTTGCCTCTTGAAAAAGCACCTTTGGGACAACGATGACCTGGATGACTGAGAATCTCCATAGACATTCAACAAGGTGGTGGCAAAATGAGACTTGTTGTTTTTGGAGCTCAATATAACCACTTTCCATGACTTCTCCAACACAAATGCTTCCTAAATCAATGCCAAACAATGGATCCCTATATTACAGGGGGAAAAAGCAATGTCTATGATGATAAAAAATAATAAAAAATCAGGAGACTAGTAGCATAAGCTTTCATGAGCCGCTAATGCCTTTTTAAAAATTTGTTAGTTGGAAAGGAGTTATCAGATTCCTGACTGCATTCTGCAAATCTTTGTGAAATTACTGAATACAGGTTATCAATGACATGCAACCACAATTTGATGGATACTTCTGTCACTAAGCGAAGCAGTTGTTAAATGAGTTTATCCAATTTTACTATCTTTTTTGCCATAGTTATTATGAATCTGGTTCCCTGCACTGATTCAGATTATCAGAAGCCTCCTGGGAAGATCACAAATGGTAATCACATGACCCTGGGACACTGCAACATACAAGTTGCCAAGCACCCAAATTTTGATCACACGATTATGGGGACACTATGACAGTCATAAGTGTGAGGGCCAGCCACAAAGTCCCTTTTTTCAGCGCCGTCATTAACTTCAATTGAAGTTAATTTTTGAATTGTCAAAAATCGAAACTACCTATTACAGCTTTTCTCCACTTGGATATGCTAGCTAGAATTCTGAAAGCTGTAATCCAAACAGTTTCAGAAAAAACTAGGCTGGGGAAAGGTTGATATATACCCGTGATGGCAAACCTATGGCACGTGTGCCAGAAGTGGCACGCAGAGCCATCTCTCCGGGCACGCAAGCCGTTGCTCTTCTGGATTCCGGTGCGCAAGCCAGCTGGTCTTCACTTGTGTGGGAGTGCCGAAAACCAAAAGAGCAGCCGCCTGGTGCGCATGCACATGCCAGGAAGATGATCTTCCAGTATCTGGCACGTGCATGAGCACCGGCCAGCTGTTCTTCCACATATGTGCCGGAAACTGGAAGACTAGGTGGCCGGCGCACATGTGCGCGCCAGAAACCAGAAGATCATCTTCCCAGCACACGCATGCACACCAGCCGGCTGGTTTTCTGGTTTCTGGCGCATGCATGCGCATTGGCCAGGTGATCTTCGCGTACGCATGCGCACCAGAAACAGAAAGACCAGGTCACCGGTACGCATGCTGGAAACCGGAAGATCATCTTCCCGGCACGAGCTTGCACACCGGCCGTCTGCTTTTCCGATTTCTGGTACGTGCATGCGCACCAGCCAGGTGGTCTTCACGCGTGCATGCGTACCAGAAATTGGAAAAGCAGGTGGCCAGTGCACATGTGCACGCCGGAAACAGGAAGATCAGCTTCCTGGCGCACGTATGCACACCGGGCAACTGCTCTTCCTGTTTCCAGGACTTGATGCCAAAAAGGTTCGCCAACACTGATATATACCATAATACTGAGTCAAAAAGAATCTACCTTTTGTTGCTGAATCGTTTTTAAAGAGGCAAATAGCTATCTAAATTTGATGTTCTTAAATTGCTGAAGAGGAAAACAGTCTGTTTTTTAAGCATTAAAAATACACCAAAAAGTCCTAAGCAGTCATTTAATCGACTCTGCCTAAAGCCACACATATAAAAGCTCAAAATAATGTTCACATAGAAGAAAATCTATAGTTAAAATCAAATTGCATGTTTTCTTTTTCTACTAAAGCATAACATCAACATTAAAAAATAATGGGGACTATTATAAAGTTTTAATGGAAGCAGGCAGAAGTGACTCAAAGTATCCCCATTTACATCAAAGAGAATTCAAACTCTCCAAATTAATTATAAAATGCTGTCAGTCTTTTCTGCAAATACAATATATAATGCCACCACACAAATATATGGCAACCAGTCTACACTTCCTTTCTTCTGTGAAAGGGGATCAGCAGCTACAAAAAATTCATCATTTTTGTCATTTATAGATGGAGCTTCTTCATTGCTCCAAACAAGCAAGCTTATTTTACAATAGCTTAATTCAATGTAGCCATTCTGAGATTGGCCACTACTATGAAACCATCTGCTGAACCTGCCAGAAGGAAAGAGGGTTCTAACTTCTAACAAATTGGAGAAGCAATGAAATACTCAAACCACCCCAAAACAAAAGATCTAATGAAGTAACCTAGCAGAAAGAAGATGTATATCGATAAATCTGAGTAAGAAAATATACAGATCTACTAGCATTAAAGCAACTACTGTTGCTAAGAGAAATTACTAAATATTGTTATCTACAGTATTTTAACTGCTTAAAACATAGGAAAATGTATAATACAAGATTATGCTTCTTATCAATGGAACCCACTATTTATTGTTCATTCTTTCCCAAAAGAGATTCCTAAAGTCTGCGTGAAAGAAGTACTAGAAAATTAAGAGACTCTGTGAACAATTTGTTTTTAAAATGGATATATTCGAAATGAGCAAAGGCCATAAGCCACCGTATTGACATTGTTCACTGATCCACTAGTACAATAGCACAATCTTATAATTGGGACAGCAATTTAGGCTGTCCATCTCCATTAAAGCATCCTTGGTGGATGATTTTTTTTGAGCAATTCCCAAAAAAAAGGGAACCCGGCAACACCCTGGGGGTGCAGCCTTACCATGAAGCCTGTTCCACTTTTGATTTTTTTTTTTTTTTACATTTTCTTTGGAAAACTACATGCTAGATACTGAACTTATATAAAAAAAAATGCTTGCACCTATTGTTAAAAGCGACTACACCCAGAACTGTAGGAGCAGTCTAGGCTGGTATCCATCATCAGGATTTGAACAGGTTTTATCAAACAAGTCAAAGAAGAGTAAAATAATAATAATAATAATAATAATAATAATAATAATAATAATAATAATAATAATAATAATAATAATAATAATAATAATAATGTGTTCATTTATGCTCCAGATTTGAAAAATGTTAAGTTGACTATAAAAACAGGGAGTGTGTAATTAGTAGGCTGACTAATGTGCCATTGTATTTTATATAATCATGGTATTGAAAAGTTCAAGCCTTTGCTCAGTGAAGGAATAGGAGTTATAGCATCCTCAACAGATGGCTAGTTAATCCTACTTGTGCTCATCCAACAAGAGAGCCCACAACTTCTCATTGTGTGTTTTTACCATTAGGCTTGTATTTTCTACATCAATCTGCTTTTCTGTATCTTAAGCAAATTATCGTCCATCCTGCACTGTGAATGAGAAAACGGATCTCAATGTTCGACCGGTGCTTTTATATTCCTATGTCCTCAATTGTATTTTCTCAGGGTAAAATATCCCCAGCTCCTTCAATCCCTCTATAAAACATAATTTCAAGCTTCCAATCATCCTTTTTGCCCTTCTCTGAAATTGTCCCTCTTTTTCTGAAGCTTTGGGATGCAAAATCTATTTTTTTTCTTACATTCAATCATATCCATATGATATATAAATATGGCATATGGCATATATATGGCATATAAATTAAAGCAAAAAAAAAATCCAGTTCTTGGAGACTGTCAGGGCACATCTTATTTTGAATGCATCTATTATAAACTGTTTTATTATTATGTAGCACAAATACACACACACACACGTTTTAAATTTAGTTACAGTTATCTTTTAAACGATCATAGTATTAAAATCATCAGTGTAAATTTTTAGTGTCAGAAAACATATGTGTTGTATTTTGCAACTTGACATTTATCAATGTCATATATTATTTGCTACACTCACTTACCTCTGGGGTGTCTGCTGACTGACAATAGCATTGGCTGTCTCTCTCAAATATACTTCCCAGTCAGCCTCAGAAATGTCTTGATCAGGCGTGAAAGGAAGCCTGTGAGACAAGCAGTAAAGACTTGCTAAGATTAACTCGGTGCTGTTTATTCCTCTCCATATCCATTTTAAAAAAAACAACTTACTGCTGTACCCTGCATGCCTCACACATCAGAAGAGCCTTTCTGAGATTCCTCCCAGATTTTTCAGCAATTCTCCGAGCCAATTCTTGAGGAAGAGTCACGCCTTCCTTCTTGCAAACATTTGATAAAATGGTACAGATCTAAATATTTGGTAAGATAAACATTAGTTTTGCAAACATTTGCTTTATAAAAGCTTACATATCACTGCATTAGTTGATGCAGGAGTAAACAAAGAGGCAAGTCCCTATTTAAGAAAGATATCAGTTTGGAGAAATCAGCAATGAAGTACTGATTGCCTGGACTACACCTACTAGTTCCAGTTCATAGTTCAGTTTAATACTAGTTCATGTATTTCTTCTTTGCCTTCTCTCACATATACCTTAAACCAGAAGCTCTAAATGTGATCTCTTCTGCTATACCTGTTTTCAGTGCTTCTGGTTCATAGGGAATAATTATACACTGGACTTTTTGCAGTACAAGAGACATAGAAATATTTTAAGCACTCCAGTTGGCAATGCTGTGAATTTCTGGATTAATCAGCCCTGTTTATCATAAACCAAAGACCAACAGGCATCACCAATTAACTGATTCAAAACTGGCAATTGCCAGATAGAATTTGATCAGGGAACATTTCAATCTGGCACAAAATCTAACATCAGAGAAAGGGGTTGGGGGGAGGGGTAGGTTTTACCAGCACATGCTATCTGAAAGTTTAGATCCCTCTATTTTAGAGATAAGTTGGAAGACTATGCCCTCGTGAAGATTTATAAGAGAAGAGTCCTGCCACTTTCAACTACTGTTTTGCCTCTAGGACAATGATGGTTAACCTTTTTGCCATTGCATGCCAGGAGGGGGGGTGGGGGGGGGAGGTTAGCCCGTGTGCGTAGCCACACCCATAATTCTATGCGCCCGCCCTGCGCATGTGCACGCAACCCACACTCCCCCCCCAACACCTGGCACACGATGGCTGGTAGGCCCATTTTTCCTTCTTACCTAGCTCCAGATCCTCTCTATGCATCTGGGAACGGCGAAAACAGCCTTTCCCATTCCCTCGGAAGCCCTCCGGAGGCCTGAAAGGGCCCATTTCCCAACACCCGATGGGACAGGAAGTGATGTTTTTTGCTGTCTGCAGCCTCCAGAGCCTCTCTAGGAGTCTCTGGAGGCTGGGGACAGCAAAAAACATCACTTCCTGTCCCACTGGGAGTTGGGAAATGGGCCCTTTCAGGCCTGGGGAGGGCCTCCGAGGGAGTGGGAAAGGCTGTTTTCACCCTCCGCAAGTGCATAGAGAGAATCTGGAGCCAGGTAAGAAGGAAAAACAGGCCTTCCCCCCCTCCCCCAGGCCCTCCGGAGGCAGGAAACAGCCTGTTTCCCTATTTCTGGTGGGCCCAGAAGACCCGAAAATCAGCTGGCTGGCGCACGCATGCGTGCCAGAGCTGAGCTGGCAGGCCCACTGATATGGCTATGCGTGCCACCTGTGGCACATGTGCCATAGGTTCGCCATCACGGCTCTAGGACCCCACCACATTCCTTCTTCACAGACTGTATCCTTCCATTCCAGACCTTTCCAAAAATATTACATTCCTCTCCATGTCTTTGAAGAAAACAAAGTAAGCATAAATCTATGTTATAAAATTACATTCACATTTAGCAACAATGTTAAATCTAGGCAAATTGGATAAGCATAAATAGTTCAGAAAAAGACAGTAAACAAGGATTGCTCAATTTGCATGCTAAACTCCATGCAAATAACACTGAAAAAAAAATCTGGAAAGCGATTCATCTTCATCATGAACTTACATCTCCAATACTTGGAGCGGGGACTCGCACTGCAAGGCATCTACTCCTGATGGGTGCAATGACTTTTGATGTAGAATTGCAACAAAGAATTAATCTACAGGTGGCCATATATTTCTCCATTGTTCTTCGCAATGCATGCTGGGCATCCTTTGTAAGCTTGTCCACTTCCGTCAATAGCACCACTAAAAATAAATGAGCAATAACTTTTAGTTATATTCTCACAGTGTATTATCTTAATTTACTTTTACTACATCTGAATTCAGAAGCCATGCATTTATGAGGTTGAGAATAAGTTTTTCACCCCAAAATTTCTATAAATATTCTAAACACATGGTAGTCCATCCTATTTATCCTCCCAATGAGAATGACACCCTCCCAAAAGAATCTGCATTACATATATTACTAAAGATACAAAATCATAGCACAAGTAAGCAGTTACAGACTCTTGAGGAAAGTCATCAGTGCTCTGACATGGTGGAAGTGAAGTTTATATACATAAAAAGCAGATGGCTGAAATCAGCCTTGCTTAGATTTGGGCAGGATGTATTGATAGGTATTACTGTTCTTTCTCTTTAACCAGCATGCTACTTTTCAGTCATTACTGTGGTGATTAAATGCTGGTTTCAGCTAATAAGGAAGGAAGGATGTACTCTGGTCTATTTACACCCACCCTTTCTTTTTAGCTTAGGTTGTTGCTTCTGAATAGTTCATAAATGGGCTTATCTCTATATGTCAGTTGACTGTTAATTAGGCAGACTGCCTAATTAGGAATTCTATTGTATTCTTAAATTTAGTTTGCTCTAAAATCTTAATAGCTTCCTAGTTGAAATTGTGATTGAACCTATTTGTGTGCTTTGAAATTACTGTTTCATTCTTCACAAAAAATACTTTTTATTTAAGAGTTTACAATCCTAATGGTTCATGTATTCTCATAGACCATCCATCTATTCATAAATCCAAAACTCATTCCCCTGTTTCCCTCAAAATAAGACATCTCCTGATAATAAGCCCAATCGGGCTATTGAGTGCATGGCAATAAGGCCAAGCGCTTATTTCAGGGTTCAAAAAAATATATGACAGGGTCTTATTTTCGGGGAAACACGGTATTTCTGCCGAAATTTTGGCAAAACATCTCTAAAGGGTTTTCAGGATTTTATAAAATGCTCCATATTTTAGCCCTGATCATTTTAGCCAACCTTATATTCCTTTCTTTTGCTCCCAACAATTTTAATCTTTAGTTCCATCAAGTTGCTGTCATAGAATTAAATTTCCATGCACTTTCTTCCTTCATAATTTTTTTCAAAAGTTTTAGAAACGCTTTTTTGTAAATTAAAAAACAGGTTTTCCCAGGACTTTTTTCATCTCTTGATTTGTCATTTTTGTTTCCACTCAGAGTGGAAACAAACAAGAGATATTCTGTCTTTTAATCCCCAATTTCTTTATTTTCCAATATTGTCCATGAGTTAGGATTTGTATCCTTTCCTCACCCTATCCATAAATTCTTCCACATTTTTGTCTGTCACATCTTCCGCTTCTTCTTTATAATCACTTTCAAAAAGTTCATTTACTGATACAGAGATTATTGCTGTCAGAATTTACTCAATTTTTTAAAAGTCCTAAGATTCCAAATTTGTCTGGTTCCTTAATCCATTTTAAACTTTCTTAAATTCTTATTCAGCTTTTTGATATTTGTTTTATATTTCTTCAGGTTTTTAAACTGCTAGCTAACTTTTCTTCTATTTGGGATGAAGTTTATCTTATCAGGTAGTTTTTCAAACTTGCAGTTTGACAGATCTTTTAATTGTAAAATAATTGTAATTTCAACGATAAATAGAAAATGAAGTGATAAAGCTTTAGAGGTTCTATTATGGTTGAGAATTTTATGGTTTCCTTCATCTCCTCGTGCTCAAGAGGAACTGTCCAAAACACAAGTAGGTGATCTCTCATCCTCAGTTTATCTAGAAGGATTCCATTGGACCACTGCCTTACTGGTTGTTAGGACAGCATGGTTTCCACTGTTTTGGTGATGTGTAGTTCACCATTTTCCTTATCCAGACATCTTTCATCATGCCTTTTGACTGCCAATTGATGCTTGAGGATGCATTCTGCAAATCTACCTATTTTTCCAACACTGTAGTTTTTGAAATCTTTATACTAGATGTTGTTCGTGATCCCTGTTTTGTCATTTCTGTCATCTTTGGAGGGTTTTCTTTTGTTTATAAGCTACGTGGTCTTTTAAATTTATTTTTATATATGGAGAATTATCCTTTTTATGGCTGAAGTGTGATTGGATGTGTGAATAATTTTTAATGAATGTAAGAGATAACTTACTTTACACACTACTATATAACTGTTACACATAATCAATTTCTCCAAACAATCCTGCTTAGGAAATCTTACAACTGAATAAGTTTGTAAAAATAACTTGCACAATTTATGTACAGACCTTTAAAATCACGTTGAGTATTTGTCTCAAGTTGCTGTGACTGTGCAACTGTCTTCAGCAACTCCTGTATTACAACTCGGTCACTGTTCCCTGCATCACTGAAAATTAATATAAAAACGTATCTTTTAAAAAAAAGATTTTTCTACAACTTCCACAATTCCCAGAAAGTATGACAAATAGAATGCTGAGAGTTGAAGTTCAGCAGCATACCTTTTCCTCATATTCACATTTATGCAAAATAAAGTTGTAGGGAGTTCAATGAGGTTTCGGTAGGGAGGGGTGCCTTTGAGTCAGTATTGACTTCTAGCAACTGTCTGAGCAAATCCTTGCAGTTTTCTTGACAAGATTTTGAAAGTGGGTTTATCATTGCCTTCTTCCTAGGACTGAGAGGCAGTGACTTGGCCAAAATCACCCAGCTGTCTTTGTGCCTAAGGCAGGACTAGACTCATGGTTTTTTGTTTTTAACCTGGTGCCTAAAAGAGAACACCAAACTGACTCCTTCAGTGGTGCTTAATCCCAAGAAAACGCACACAGAACTCTTTCCTTTATGTTCTTAACATAAGCATGGATTATAAATGTACAGACAAATGACACAGCTGTCACTAGCAGATGGAATATTCCAGAAATTTACAACTATACAGCAGACCTCTTTAGTTTCAAATAAACTATGGTATCAGATTGGACATTTTAATATGCATTATGTCTTGTTTTCGCATTTTTCTCATTTCTTCTCCTGAAAATTACTTACTTTCAAAAATGTCAGATGTACTGAAAAATAAAATTCACAACTTTTTTGCTTCATTAGTGATGATGGTAGCTAGTTTTTGCTGCATAATTTTCCTAAATAATTATATTCTTTAAATTTCAATAGGTTGTAGCTCCATTTGCAATAAAAATGTGTAACATTGTAAGTACATTCAATAAGTTTTGTCTAAATAAATTTTATTTATTTTATTTATTATTTTTATTTACTAAATTTTTATGCTGCCTATCTGTCCTATAAGGTGACTCTCGGTGGCTTATATTTTTTATTTTATACAACATAATCTTATGTGCAAATTAAGTTACAATAATATATTTTATACAGTGTACACAGCATACAGTATATTTTTCATTCCATTTTCCCAAATATTTTTTCCTACCAGTATCTTACTTCGACATTACTGGAAATTTTAATATATAAAATTTACTATCTTCTATATTAGAATTGTTAACTTTTTAAAGTGAAATAAGTATCATTTAATACAATAATATTAATCAACTGCACCATTCATAAAAACTAAAATTTTACAACTAAAATTGCATTTTCTTTAAACACTGCATTTTCCTGCACCAGAAACTAGATATTCAGAGCTGATTACAAGCATACCTTGGATTAACTTCAAGATGGTAGTTGCTTGCAATAGTGCTGATTTCAATTTTCTTTTTAGAGGGTGCCTGAAAAGAAATGATACTAAGCAAGATGAACTTTAGGAGATCAATACTAATGAGATGTAGCTCACATTATTGAACAAAAACAGTACAGTTTTTTTTTTAATTCATACATATCAAGCATGGTGTGCTTTAAAATAATTCTGCCTTTCGTTCCATTTTAGTTTGAAAAATGATAACCTTTTCTCTGCTTTTTATTGCTTGCATTAATTATATCTCTCTTCACTTCATAGGAACTGCCTCTGAATTTCAGTGATGAAAAGGCTGTCTGCCAAGTTTTTCTAAAGTTGGGTGAGAAAAGGAACTTAGAAGAATAGCAAGGACAGATCAAACCAAAGAATAACCTATATTTCAAATGAAGAGATGCTTTAAAAGTTGATTTCCATCAAACATCACATAAGATACACAGACACTGGATGCTTCAATGTATAGTTTTTTCCCCAGTGGCCCCCTTGGAACTCGATGACCAAAGCCATCGGAATGCACATGATGGGGGAGGCTGCCACAGTAGTATATTACTTGCTACTGAAAAAATGTAGCTAGATGGCAAAAGCTAAACTAAACAAGGAATTACGACGAAGACCTTTTTTCACTTTGTTCAATGGTTCAGGCCCTGACATACTGGGTTTCAAATCACACCAATTATTAAATACTGACACTTTTGATTTTCCCGATTAAAATGAAAAGCATTTCAAATATGAAGTGACAGAAGGAATCTCCTTAATAATGTATTTACTGATGGTTGCTTTACTCTCCAAGCTACTAACCAAGCAAAAGAACTCATTCTGACTGTTGAGGCATCATTTTTTTAAAAAAAATATTTTTTATTGAATTATCACTGTGAGAAACCATTAGAAACTGTAAGGAAAAGCACAAGAAAGCTAGCTGATCTCTTGATCATAACTGCTGATTCAGAGTGAAACAGCCCAAAGTATAAACTAGACTAAGCTAGGCCAAATTATTTCCAGTATCATACAGCTGAAGAAAGATAATACCACAAATCAATATTCTCCAACTAAATTTTCTGTAGAAGCAAAAGCCTATGGTAACAGAATCCCACATGTTTGGCAGGACAAATACAGGCTACATTATAATGGCAGACAATAACAATTCCACTATTTTCCGCATTTGTCAGAAACTAATTGAAATAGAATGTTCTTTAGGGCACTGCATTTTAAAAACGGCTTTGACAAAGTGAGGTACATTAAGCCCTCAACTTATTGGGACATGAACTTCCATCACTAAGTCACGTGCCATAAAGCGCAACCACATCACCTAACAACGGCAATTTCTGCAGTTGACCAAATCTCATGGTTGTTAGACAAGGCCACTGCCTGTCGGCTTCCCCACAAAGTCAGTGGAGAAGCCAGCAGGAAGTTGCAACTTGCAGGCAGATCACAAGCAGGCCACCAAGCAGGTAAGTGGCTGCTGCTAGATGGAGAGGCATGAAGATGTGAATGAGGATGTGAGAGAGGTACAACAAGACCCAGGGGAAGCTGCAAGAAAAGCATGATGAGGCCTAGGAAAGGTGTGCAAGCATGCACGGGAGGCAAGGCAAGACTCAGGGAGGGTGTGAGTGCTAAGCACAGAGGGGCTAAAGGAAGGTGCACAGATGGTGAAGACTTACCCCAATGACTTGCAAACTTTCCTGCCCGTTTTCCCACTGATTTTCAAAGAAAGGGAAGGCGGCAAATGGAGATCACATGATTGCAGGACACTGCAACTGGTCATAAGTCCTGATCACAATCATATGACTGTGGGATGCTAGGCTAGCCAAATTCTGACAACTGGTCATAACCACCATTTGTTCAGTGCCATCATAACCTTGAATGGTCACTGAATGAATCGTCATTGCGCTGAGGACTACTTGTACACCTAGGGGAAGCTGGGAAAGGTTTTGAAGATACATAAACTGCTCTAATCAGATACGTTTGAAAGAGCTGACCAGAGAAGAAAATATAAAGGGGAAGCATGATTTTAACACTCAAATACCTTGTTCTCTGCTCTAGAAACAGAACTAGCAACAATCTATCAAATTATGGAGAAAGAGATTTCAAGTCAACAAGAGAAAAATCTTCCTACTGGAAACAGCTGTTTCACTACAATAAAATGTGGTGGACTCTTTTGAAAAACTGATGCGAAGGTTAGATGGCCAATTCTCAAGTATGTTACAGTTGAATTTTGTACTGAGTAGGAAAATAGCTTTGCTGATTCCAAAATCCTATTCAACTCCATGGTTGATGACTTCTATGAAATGTGCTCTAACTGCCAATGTAAACTAGAAACTGCACATTTGGAACTGACTGCACATTTAGAAACTGCATATTTGCTTTGTATTGCATAACATTTGAGTTACTATTTATTACCTGATGTCTTGTCAAGTAAATTTCCTAGGCCTTGGACATTTCAAAAACAAAAAGCTGCCATAAAAGCTAATATAAAATCAGAAATGCATTTGGGGAAAAAGTCTCAATGCAAAACCAAAAAGAAGAAGCAAATATTATATACAAAAGCTAAAACAATCAAGAGCATCATAAAAAATAAAGCAGAGATTTAAATCTAATAGCAAAATAAATAGTCTTATGGCTGAACAAATATCTTTAGAGTGATAATGCCAAAACTACTCTCTTGCCATCTATATTAGTTTCTTATAGAGATAGCTTTAGGGCAGCTTTGCCCTTACCAAAATCCAGGTGTGTTGGATTTCAGCTGCTATAATTACAATCAGCATGACAATTATCGGAATTAAAGTCACACATATTCTGAAAAATATCAAGTTCAACAATATGGCTTTAGGAAAAGAGATATGACAGGGGGTCCCGATCCCCAGGCCGTGGCCCGTTCAGAACCGGGCCATAGAAGCGGCAGGTGAGTGCACACAGTCCAGTGGTGGGTCTCAAAATTTTTTACTACCGGTTCTGTGGGTGTGGCTTGGTGGACGTGGCAGGGGAAGGATACTGTAAAATCTCCATTCCCTCCCCAATCCAGGGGAAGGTTACTGCAAAATCCCCATTTCCTCATGATCAGCTGGGACTTAGGAGGCAGAGAATAGGTGGGGGCGGGGCCAGTCAGAATTTTTACTACCGGTTCTCCGAGCTCCTCAAAATTTCCACTACCGGTTCTCCAGAACTGGTCAGAACCTGCTGAAACCCACCTCTGGCACACACACAGCACCATTTGCGTGTGCAGAGGGCAGGCAAGCACACGTGCACAGCTCTATTTGCACGAGTGGTGGGCACGCATGTCACCGCTTGCATAAATGGAGCTGTGCAGGCTCACCCGCTGGTCATGTGGAACCATCCCCTCTTTCCCTCAGTCCACAAAGCTGGAAAAGCTGGAGACAGCTGTGATAGAATATAGTGAGGAGGTGGATTCTCAGAAGGGGGTGCATTTCAGAAGAGTAAGAGGCAATTTAGCCTAGAGATGATGTGTGAAAGAGCAAAGACAATCCCTCTCTAATAGTTCACAAAGTTTATGGTAGGTGTAGATAGTAGATAGTCTGGAAAGATTTTTGTCTACAAGTATGAAACTATAAAGACCTCAGTTTGGAATAATTGCTATGTGTCATTCTTGGTTTTGGGTTTGACATGAGTGTTATCCAAATTTTGCTGAAGTACAACTCCCAACACCAAGCACTAAAAGAAGGGTAGGTACTGGCAACAGCATCCATCCATTCATTTATCTCTGCAGAGAATGCTTTAAAAATAGTTGATGTCTACTGTATATGTATCATTCTCTCACCAATTTTTTATGGGAGGGGATCCAAAAACGCTTCCTAACCCTACCCTGTCAGCTTCAGAATCCCTGGAAATGTTTTATTTCTATTCCAGATAGGAGCGGTGGATATATTTAGAATGGCATAAAGAGTCATATAAGCTAATTAAAGCTGTAATAATTACAATGGACTCTCAAATACCCACAACTGGTCTAGAGCAGGGGTCTCCAACCTTTCAGACCTCAGGGACCAGTAAATTCATAATTTTAAATCCCGCGGATCACTAATACGATCTGCCTTATGACCGGCTGGGTGGGCATGGCTAGGTGGCCATGTGACTGGGTGGGCGTGACCAACTCAATGTCACTCATGTCGAGGGGTGACTCACCAGCCTCTATTCACCCCTCCCCTCCCAGCCACTCCTCGCCTGCCCTCCCGGACGCCTTACGACCCAACAGGAGCCAAGCAGCCACCATGAGAAAGAGTTGACAAAACAGCTGGCTCAGTTCAAATTGGATCTGACTGAGAAGGAGGCTACAAGCATAGGCTTTCCAAGCAGAGGGAAGAGCTGTGGAAGTGCAAGGCCAGGTAGCGGTGCCTGGATGATCAGCAGGCTGAGATGGTCAGCCAGTTCCATGCCGTGATGCATCCCACTAGAACAAGGCCCTGCAGCTCTTTGCTACCAGCGGCACTTCCGTCCAGCCTTCGCCCAAAGCCCCACACCAGGAGGCTGAAGCAGACCCCAAGTTGGAATTTCTGGCCCCCTCTGACCCGCATAAAAAGACTCCGAGGGGGGAAGACTCTCTGCAGCAACACAAACGTTCATTGCACGTATCCGGCCCAGGGGCTGTAGTTTGAGGACGCCTGATTTAGTGCAATATAAAAAATGAAAATAATTTTTCTGCGGACCATCAAAATTTTCTCACGGACCACCAGTGGTCCATGAACCACCAGTTGGTGACTGCTGGTCTAGAGGATGTACTATATAGGTAGCTTCTTTAGGACTGATCATATTTTCTCTTTGTTCAAAGAAACCTGGGATTATTCCTTTTCTTAAGTAATCAGTCACAAAGGACTTCCAGTGAAAGCATGGCAAGCTAAATACGTCTCAGTGAAGAGTGGACACATGACAGGAGACCATAACAATAGCAAAGAACCAGGGAGTAAACTGGTTCTTTGAAACCTCCCACAGATAAGGAGAGGACAGAATATCCCACACATATGCAGAGATGACTACTCTTTGAGAGGAGACTGCAAAATAGCAGTCTTCAGCAGGTCTGAGTGCTTGGAGACACATTAATCATCAAGCTTGCAATCTCAGCCAGTGCCATTAAAGGATGCTAAATTCCTAATCTCACTTCTAATTACTTTTTGAAATTGCTTATTTAAATATCTTAATGCTATTAGAGGTCTTCGGAATGACAAATCTGAAAGATAAGTATATTCCTGAACAAAATAAAACTTAACTAAATAAATGGAAAAAGCTAGACAAGATTTTGAACTAAGAAAGTTCTAAATGAATTAAAGTTCTGGACAAATTTGTAATATTGATACTTATACTGTAAGATTTTGGAATTCACTATATAAAATTAAATAGATTTTTGTGAGTACCACAATTATCTTGACTACCACAAGTCATAATAGAAATGAGTCATGAAAAGCATAATCAAGTGAATACAGATTTAAGACATATTCCACAAAACATCGTCAACCTCTTCTCACTGATAAGCTGAAAGTCATCTAACAACGGACCTGATAAGACTTATGCTTATATAAAAAGCTCAACTTCTATATATAATTTTCTTAAACACTTAAAATATTTATTTTCAAGATATTTCTTACTGTTATAGTTTGATGTTCAATCCTCAGTTTTTCTACTCCAGAACCATACAGCTCTCTTAGTAAACACATTATTCTTGTCTTCTTTCCAGCTCCTGAAGGCCCATAAACTAAGAGATGAGGAAAATCACCACACTGAACCTGTCAAATGGAGCATACACGAAGATATTACTTTATGTTTAGATTTCACATAAATAAAATGTGGTCGCCTACTAGACATAATTTCCACCAAGCCTTCAGATTGCTTCAGTTATATCTTGAAGATTACTGATGTTTTATTCATAACTCAAGGACACACTTATACAGGTAGCCCAAATTTTGAGCCCAAATTTCCATTGCTAAACAAGGCAGATGTTATGTGAATTATGCTCCATTTTATGATTTTTTTTTTTGCCATGGTTGTTAAGCAAATCACTACAGTTGTTATTGACTTTGCTTGTAAGAAGCTCCCTAGGATGGTTGCAAATGACAACCCCAGGACCTTGAGATTTTGCAACCATTGGAAATACATGCCAGTTGCCAAAGTTTGATCATGTAACTGTGAGGATGCTGCAACAATTATAAGTGTGATATAAGTGTCAAAACTCATTTTTTTCAGTGCTGCTGTAACTTTGAACGATCATTAAATAAATGGTTATAAGTCGAGGACTATCTGTATAGAGTTCAAGAGGATAAACCATTATTGAGAGTTGTCAATATATAATGCGAGTCCCAAGAGATTCCTGGCATGTCAGGATGAGTATATTTTTGGGCTTTTATGGAACACAAATCAAAACAGATGTCTGAAGTAATATTAAGTTGCAGCATGAAGTCCATTTTCAAGAAGCAATATAAAGAATAGCTGAACCTCACAAAATTATTTGGAACGTAGCAAAATTGAGAATAGAGTTCAATAGCAGAATTTATGTTTTTAAATCAAATTTGCCAGAATCATATCTAACACTCTCAAGCTAAATTCTAGGTAATCTAGTTGATTATGACCTAAATGAACCAATAGCCTGCTTTAGCATAATGCAAGCTCTTATATTTCCATGGTAATTTATTCATAGGACAAAATTATGTTGGGCTTCATAACTGAGTTAAACATGGGGTGATGTTTTGTTTTTTTGGATTAGTAAATTCTGTGAACCCAACCACTACAAATTGTAATTATCAAGGTTTCTGTTTTAGCATGTTTTATAGCTCAACTATTTGCCATTTATTCAACAATTCATGGCTAACCAAGCCTTGATTTAATGTAAGCTGAAGACTAGGTTTAAAATAGAAAATTCAAATATCATAAGCTCTCTACAAGATACACTTCAAGGTTGTTTAATTCGCACTGTGCCTTTTTATTTTCAGGCTGCTGTACCAAACTCAATTAAAACTAGGTTCACCAAATCTTACATTCTGATCTGTCTGAGATCATAAAGGCCAAGAATGCGTTTTGTTTAAAATGGATTATTTTCATTCATAAGCAGTTTCAATTCATCCCTAGCTTTGCAACAAAGCACTTTCAAATTTTATTCTGGAAGTATACAATGTGTTTGTATTTCATCTTTTGCATGACACAACCTTGTAGAGAGGTATCAGGCATAAACAGTTATCCTCGGATGTATTACATCTCCATAAATAAGATTTGAAATACCATCTAGCATCAGAAGGATCAAGTCTGAGAGGAAGAAATGGCAAACGGTAGTGAATAATGGCTACAAAGAGAGATGATGTAACTTAAGCCTGCCAAAAATGTGTATGTTCCAATCCAAGTACCTTATGCTTTCAAATTTAAAGGAGAACTTAAGTATGGTATAAATGTTCATAGAGAAACCTTTTAAGAAAATATTTTATGTCTTGATGAGATTAAAACATAAAGAGCACTTTCAAAATCCAAACTATGAGATTTATGTTACAGAACGTTCAAAATCTGAACTATAAAGTAAAGCAAATCCCCATCTTCAAATAGTTCATCATTTAACCATATTGGCCATAGTTCAAAATAAGAGTTCAGTTTTTACATTCCAATGGGAAATAAGCATATGGGAATTAAACATTAATACTGCATTGATCTAACATTTTATTTCTAATGGGCAATGACTTGGATCTAAATATATCCACAAGTCATGCTCTCTGCAGTGGAACTGTAATGTTATTAATAATCACTAGATGATGAACATGGCTGGGATACTTAAGAATATAAATGCTGGTCCATTCATCAGTACTATTAAGCACAGCCCTGGGACCCTCAAGATCTCTTTGAGGCCCCAAATTGGGTGAAGCAACAACAACAACAACAAAATAGGCACGGAAATTTTGGCAAGCTTGAAGATTTTAAGACAAATATTTAAGATATGCATGCAGATGGTTTTGGTACCCATTTATCTTGTAAAACTCCTGAGCAACCGCATCCCACCTAGTCCATGAACACCTGAACAACCCCATATCAATAACCAAGATCTTGGCCACTGTTGGAGTACAACACTGAACATGTCAAGCTTTGATACAGATTTGGAATCAACAAAAATAATATAGTCTTATTTACATTCAAGGGTGGGGACCTCTTACAATAGCTGCGTTGAGTTGATGTACATTGAATTTTATTGCTGATTGTGAGTTTCTGGGGGTTTTATTTGAATATGGACAGTTTTAGTATGTTTGCATATTGGAATTGAGCTTGTTTTTATGGAATTTTCATCTCAACTTGTAATTCTTAATGGAACTATGTCTACATAGAGGAAAGTATGCAGTGGGTGCCCCAAGGTTGTCTTAGGCCCAGTACTCTTCAAAAACTTCATAAACAATTTAGTTGAGGGGTCTAGAGGCTAAAACATATGATGAACAGTTGCAGGAGCTGGGTATGTCTAGTCTAACGAAGAAAAGGACTAGAGGTGACATGATAGTATTGGAGCATATATCCAATATTTAAGAGACTGCCACAAAGGAGAGGACAACTTATTCTCCAAAGCACCAGAGGGCAATACAAGAAATAATGGATGGAAACTTATCAAAGAGACATCCCATTAGAACGAAGAAGAAATATCCTGAAAGTGAGAACAATTAATCAGTGGAATGACTTGCCCCCAGAAGTTGTGGATGCTTCATCACTGGAGCACCCACAATTTCTGGATGTTTTTAAGAAGAGATTGGACAGCTATTAGTCCAGAATGGTATAAGGTCTCCTGCTTGGGCAGGGGCTTGGACTAGAAGATCTCCAAGGTCCTAGATTCGAACTCTGTTATTCTGTTAAGGTCCTAGATTTTTTATTCGAAAGGCAGCCCCGTGTACAATACAATCACTTTAGATCCAGGTAACCTTGGAGGTGCAGAGTGCCTTTTACCAATGGAACAATGGAACAGCAATGGAACTAGCCGCATTCTCCAATTATGAACTTGCTCCTTTACAACACACACAGACACCACTCAGCTGGATAGATGAACTATCTACAAACAATACATCCAGTCCATTAGTCTGCCCAAGTACTGTTTCAGAACTGTAATCATATCATTTGTGTTAGATGAAAAGGAGAAATAGAGCTGGATATCACCTGCATAATGATGGCACCTTAGCCCACATCCCCAGATTAGCAACAGCACTTAGATTTATATAGTGCTTTACAGCCCTCTCTAAGCGGTTTACAGAGTCCGCATATTGCCCCCAACAAACATGATGTTAATACATGTTCTTGTTAGAGATTCTACCCTCAAAACGATGCTATAGAGCAGAGGTCTCCAACCTTGGCAACTTTTAAGACTTGTGGACTTCAGCTCCCAACTTTGGGAGTTGAAGTCCACAAGTCTTAAAGCTGTCAAGGTTGGAGACCCCTGCTATAGAGCACTGCACACCAGAACAACTAGACACAAGGACAGTTGTTTCCCGAATGCCATCACTCTGCTTAACAATGAATTCCCACAACACTGTCAAATAATTTACTAAGACTGTATTACTATTATTATTATTCTCTTCCTTACTAGTATCTATCTCTTCCCACTTATGACTATAACCATGTTGCTTGTATCTTTCCATTTATATTGTTTTTGTTTCCTATGATTTGATAGCTTATTAGCATCCTTGACTATCACTAAGTGTTGTATCTTTTTATTCTTGTTGAATGTATTTTATTCTCCTTATGTACACTGAGAGCATATACACCAAAGACAAACTGATGTGTCCTTGTGTGTCCAATTACACTTGGCCAATAAAGAATAAATCAAGATAGACGTTGTTAAGTATCACTTCGTGGCTTCGAAAACGCCCTTTTCCACTGAAAAGTGGCCCCCTGAAAATAAAAGATCTTCCAATGGCTAAAACAGAGGTCTTCAAACTTGGCAGCTTTAAGACTTGTGGACTTCAACTCCCAGAATTCTCCAGCTAGCTATGCTGGCTGGAGAATTCTGGGAGTTGAAGTCCACATGTCTTAAAGTTGCCAAGTTTGGGGACCCCTGGACTAAGAAATAGGGAGCAAAAAAGAAATGCACCCGGGGGATGCATAATGCAACGAGACATTATTTCTCCTCTTCCTTCCTCCCCCAAGTAGGAAAAGAGCCCAAACACCTCCGCCTCTCACCAGATTGCGAAGCTGCGCCGCCTGCTCTCGGTGATAGTCTACTTTGCAGAGCGAGGTCGGCCGGTATTTGTCCAGCCAGAGGCTCATGGCTGCGATCCGCCGACCCAAAACCTAACGGAGTGAAACAATCGGATTGAAAAACCGCGCGCTACCGCCGCTAAAGCTCTAGAATTCCCGCCCAGTGCGGGCACCCCTAGCACCGGAATGGCGTAACGGCGCATGCGTTCTAATTGAGCTTTCCGCCTCAGTTCGCCGGCGCTCATTGCTTTCCGGCCTCTTGTCAGCCTCGGCTGTTGTTGTTGTTTTTAGTACGGTGGCTGGGATGGGAGGAAAAAAAAAAAGACGCGAACTACCGCTATTGGAATCGAAGGTTGGCGAATAACCGCATTGCATGTGCAGAGGACAGAAAAAAGTGCGAGGATGGAAAAATCCCTGCGATGTACGGAATTTCTCCCATCAATTTAAGGAATTCCTGCGATTGGAGGAAATGTAATAAGCCTGTGAACTAGGCTTACAGGCTTATAGTGTGTGTCGCATAACCCTTTTATCCGCGATTAAGTGAATCGTGCTTTATTCATCCCAGTTTTCATAGATCTCATGAACTCTTGAGCAATGCATCAACCTCCCGGGCTAGATTCACATAAATTGGTTACCACTTGGAGAAGAAGCATAAGAAAATATTGTGGTATGAGCTAGACTGGGAAACCGGGATGGAGTGGGGGCGGAATTCCGGCAAAAGGCAACTTGAATATTGGGAAAACATATAGAAACACTTCCACGTAGTCCCCAGAAACCGAGGTCTGGATTTTACCTTTTTTGTACTGCAAATTGTGCAAATCCAGCCATTCTAGGATATAGTGTTCTTTTGTTTGATTTGGATTTTGCATGTCCTATGACACTGCTGAACATAATTTGTAAATCATAAGTTTGTGTGAACTAGCTGGTTGTACTTTATGTACTACTAATGAGAATCCAACTTGAGTGCAATTGCTTATATGCTGTTGCTTTGTTTGGTGTGTCATGTGAATCCAGCAAATTAGGTTGAGTAAACCATGGGTAAATCAGCATGGGTATACATATGCCGTGAAAACACAGCCTATATGTGTTTTATATGAAAAAGGCAGAATATTATATTTCCCTGGGATAAACATGTTTTGAAGCAGCTCCCATCTTCCTGCCCCCATCCTTTGCCAATGGGCCATAAAGGCTTGGGCCAGTCTATTCTACATAACAAAGATCTGCCTCCTTCAGGCAGAGCCATAGTAGGAATTGCCAAAGATCCAACAAAGATAGGATTAGCCCTCTACACAATAGCAGCAGAAACTCACCACATGTGACCTGGGAAGCATGTGACCTAGGAAGCACATGTGACCATCAGCCAGCAAGGCTAGCTAAGACCCCCACCCCCTGGGAGTCTGACAACCAATCAGGATACTTTCGGGGCCCCAAGAAATGCAGAGCCAGAGAGAGCATAAAAACCCGAGGATTTACTGTATCTGCCCCCTTTTCTGTTCAGGAACTCAAGCCATGTGATCTTGTCCACCATTAAACCATCTTTCCAAGCAGTCTCCATGTTTCCAGTGTCTGTTTCCCCACTTGGAGCAGAACCCAGAAGGATGTTTCTTCCAACAGGAACATATTCCAAATACATCTTTGAAAGTGCATCAAGTCAAATCTTTTCTACCAAGAGTTGGGATACCTTTCTTTTACTTTAATGCATCTTCTTCATCACCAATGTTCCTAAGACAATGCTGAAATCTCTTTATTTATTATTAATACTAATATAGTTAGGCAATTATTAATATAGTATATTTAGGTGATAACTTCATCATTAGGACTGCAGACTTAAAATCAGTTTCATTATTTTATTTTTGTTTTTATTTTGCTTTTGTGAATAACCCTGAACCATTGATGAAGGTTGTTATGTGATATTTTAAAATGAAGCCAGTTGTTATTTGATATTTTTTTCTCAGGGAGGAAGAGCCACTTAGCCTAACAAAACATATTACTTAGGAGATGTATTATTAGCAACTATATTTAGGCATATTTATTCAGTAAGCCCACTTAGCAGTTCAAAAGCATGCAAATGCAAGTAGATAAATAGGTACCATTTTGGTGGGAAAGTAACAGCGTTGTGTGTATGTATAAGTCACGCTAGATACAGGACCAAGAAAATATCTGTGGACAACGCTGGCTTCCGCTGCTAAGAAACAGAGATAAGCACCACCCCCTAGAGTCAGATGCAACTAAAAAGGGGAAACCTTTACCTTTATTCTTTGTACACAAAGATCCATAACCTTCCTATCCCTATTTATTTAAATAGTAAATCTTATTCTGTCAATGAAAGTTACTCCAGAAAAGTCTACAATGTTTAATATTTGCTTAATTAGCAGGGTCAGGTCTTATTAAGGGCATAATTTTTGGGCTGATTTAATTATTGCAAGTCAAAAAGGACATGAAAATGGTTAAAATGAAGTGTAAGGGACATTATTATCAAGTTGCATAGCACAACTGATTTCCTTTATTTGCATAGCAGGTGGAAAAGGGATATAGCTATTGCATCTTAAATAACTATAATTATTCTTCAGTAGCTCTAAAAATATTTGGGATCCTATTAAGATGTAGCTCCAGTAGACATAGCTCTTAGATGTAAATCCTGTATATTTAAAGATAATGATATTAATCAACTGAAACATCTTTTAGAATAGGCATATTAGATAGAGTACAAAAATCCATGTAACAGCAAAACAAGTGTAGAAAATGAAATAGTTGCTATTTTTCAATTATTATCTGGATTTTCTTGGTCCAACATAACTGCAGTAATAAGCTCTTTCTCTACAATGCCAAATAGTGCATTTTACTTATTGGAGCAGAGAATAGAAGCCAAAAATATTGCCAGAGGAAGGAAAAAAAACCCAATCAGAATGATATACAGTAGTTTTAACACATACTGTAGCTATGTGGATGAGCAGACTAAGACCTGGGGAATATGGTGAAAAGATTAAAGTATACAGTTTGCATTTTGAAAAGCCATGTTAACTCCAAATATAACAATGTTCTCTTGAACTATAGAGAAAGGCAGAATGCAAAATTAATGCCTCATGAATCAGTAAGAAGCATAAGTAATGCTCTCTGGCAGCCAAGACAGACCTCTGAGATAGGACTCAACAGCTTTATTGGGAGAATTAATTGGCTATGTTCAAAATAGACCTTTTGTTCACAGTCTGATCTTGTGAAGAAAATGCAGCAGTGGCATTTGTAGCTGGTAGTTGTTCCTGACTCTAGGAGGTGTTGCTCATCTCCATTTCTAAGCCGAAGAGCCAACGCTATCTGATGACAATTCCATGGTCATATGGCCAGCATGATTAAACATCGAAGGTGCACGGAACACTGTTACCTTCCCACCAAGGTGGTCCCTATTTTGCTACTTGCATTTTTACATGCTTTCGAACTGCTAGGTTGGCAGAAGCTGGGGCAAGTAACAGGAACTCACTCCATTACACGGTGCTAGGGATTCAAACCGCTGAACTGCCGACCTTTCTGATCAACAAGCTCAGCGTCTTAGCCACTGAGCCACCATGTCCCCCTACTTCCCTAGTACTGGTAGTTAATACCTGTATGAAGCTACAAGATCTGGGTTGAAAAAAAAATGGATAACCACTAGATGGAAGTAAAGGACAGGATTTTATGTATCTCTGCTGCCGTCTTAACAGTTGCCCTAATCAGTATACCCCAAGGCTACTGCTCTTTCCTGCAGTCTGTCCCCACTTTCTATCTACTTCTGTTCACCACACTGCAATAAGCAACTGCCAAGTAATTTTGTGAGTGCACATTGGCCCTGCAGCAGATCACAAGCCAAAATTGTGGTATCGGGACTGCTACTCTTCCCTAGACTATATTTATGTCACTGGAGCCAACTTTATGTTCATAACATGTTTAATTCTCACTTTTCAGCACTTCTGCCTTGTATCTTAATGCATTTCATGTAAAAGATATTTCTGTGAAAAAATGTATTAGCATATCATGGTACAATAATATTGGTCTTTCTTGATAGTTTGGTCTCAATCAGCTGTCAGTTCAGTTCGGAGTGTCTTTTCCCTCATGTCCTGATGGTTGCATAGCTTCAAGGTTTCTCATTAGAAAAGAAAAAAATATGCTCTTATAATTGACATATGGTTAGACTGCTGTCAGACTGATGTCATCTCAATGAGGGACACAATAAAAAAGAGAGACATTAACTACATGAGACAGGTCTACATTTTAATATATCAGGTTTCCAACTTCTGACCAAGGAAGGCATCAGCTGCTCTTTAACAACCATGAGCCAAACATCTATTCTTGTTTGCTAATGAAATGAAGACGAAGGGTTAAACTGTAGAGTAAAGAACCGTTCCATGGGGCATGAATTGATTAGCTAGAAAGATTGTCCTATGAAAGGCACTGTACGTTTGCCTAGACAATGGGAAGCAGAACAGGGGTGAAATGCTCCCAGTTTGGACCGGATCACCTGATCTGATAGCGATGGAGGCGGGTGGTTCGGAGAACCGGTAGCAAAAATCCCTGCCCCACCCCCATTGTCCAGCTGAGCCGCGCAATCATCAGAGGCTTTTTTTTTTATTTTTAAAAGCATTTTTTCTACAACCTCTGGCCGAAAAAATGCTTTTAAAAGTAAAATAAAAAAGGGAGGAGAGTGCCCCGCCCCTCTTCACAAGGCACACCTGGGGACTGAGACTTAAGGAGATGCTGTGGGGAAAGGCATTTGTCGGGAACAAATGCTGAATTCATGGAGTGTTGTGTGCCATTGCCGATGTTTGACGTTTCCTGGACTTCTTGCTTTCTTTCTTGCTTCCTGGATTAATTGCCTTGTTCCTTTGCTTCCTGGACTCATTGACTTATTCCCTTGCCCTGCTGGATTTCTTGCTTTGCAGCTGTTGTGTTACAGCGTTATGCTTAACTACTTGCAACCACAGTGTGTGTGTGTGTGTGTGTGTGAGAGAGAGAGAGAGAGAGAGAGAGAGAGAGAGGGAGGGAGGGAGGGAGGGAGGGAGAGATCACCTTGCTCTGGGACTTTCCAGAAATGTAGGAGTGTTTGGGGGAAAGTTGGAGCGGTTTGAACTATCAGCTGACTAGGTTGCCTGTGTATTGTGCCCCGGTCATCACACAGTCAGAAGACATGATGAAAGTGCTTTAATCTCACAACACATGGCTAGATTCAATTATAGATTCAACTGAGAAATTGAACAATCTAGACAACATCCACTTCAA